GTTGGTATGTGTGAATAGTTTTTGGGCTTGGGACAAGATATGGTAAGTTGATTATTTGTAAGGATGTTATGGAGAGTTCTAAACTTTAGTAATTAATTAAATTATTAATTTTCCCTCTTAGATTAGTTAACTAATCTAAATTATTTCGAGATAAGCACTAAATTTTATCGAACTATCTAAATTTTAAATCTTAAATCACTAATAAAATAATTTTTCTTAACAAACTTAGATAAGTACTCCTATAAATTTGGGAATAGAAGAAATTAAATTTGGTAAAAAATATTATTTTTTAATAATTTATAAGTATTATATTTAGTTAAATAATTATATATTTTTTGTTCTAAAAAATATCAATCATAATATAATAAAAAATAATTTTTAAATAAAAATATAACTCGATTCAAACTCACAATTTCTTACAGAGTGAAAAATAGATTACCTGTGACATTAAAAATTAAATTAATTATTGGTTTAAAGTCTAATTAACATCGAAAAATTTGTGGGCAACGACAAGTACTTTGAGAGGTTAAATTAACAAACAAAATTGGATTAAGAAATTTGGTAGGATGCTAATTATGATGGTTACATGGAGATTAAGGACAAAATAATGTGGTGATGAAGAGGGTTGGAACAAAAGCCAAGTAATTCGGCTCTTCATTTATGACCTTGTTTAATTTTAATTAATGTTTGAATCAAATTAAACATTAATACAATAACACCATGTGATTGTGAAACAACAATTCAATTAATACGTGTATTCAAAACTAAGATTTTGTTACAAAAAAAAAGAAAATTATATTAAAAAAGATAAGATAATGATTAGGGTAAATTATTAAATTAATCATTTAAAAATGTAATGTTTATTTTGAGTTAATTTTTATTTTTTTTAATTATAATTTGATTGCTAATATTTTTTTTTATTTACTTTAAATATTCGTTCTCGTACTATTTCTTAATACAAAATATTTAAAATAATTATATATTATTTGTATATTTTAAAAAATATGTCAAAAGCCCAATTTGACCAATTAATTAAATTAATAAATTAAGAAATTATTTTATTAATTTAATGGTTAATTGAAAATTTAAATGGGTTAAAGTTAAAAAAAACTTAAAATGACTAATTTAAATAAACATTTGAAATAAATAAAAATTATTTAAAAAGTAAATTATAATTAAGAATTAAATTGTCATATGAATAATATTTTAAGATAAATCTATATATATATATATATAATTTATGTAATAGGAACAAAATCTATGAATTGAATCAATTAATGTTTGTTGTGATAAAAGTACTTATTAATAAATAAGTGTGAAGAATATACCAATTTTGTATAATCAAATTTAATATTTCATTTAACAAGATAAAATAATTAGTTTAATTGTGTTTAAGAAATTAAAAAAAAATATTTACTTATTTTTATATATAATTACAAGTTGTTTATATCAAATTTAAATTTATATTGAAATTCATCAATCCAAAAAATTAAACATAAAAATATTAAATATTTATTTAAACTACATAAATACTTTTTTGGTCCCTCCAAGTTATATGGAAAAAAAAAAATTGAACTTTGTAATTATTTTTTTATGATTTTTTTTAATAATTCATAATTCATAATTCATATGTAGGTACCCACTTAGAATTTTTAAAAAATAATGCTTATAAATTAATTTAACTTTTAAAATAAGAGCAAAATATAATAAAATATTATGGATATTTTGTAAAAAAAATGTTGGTAATATTTATTAAAATTACAAAACATTATAAAAATGAGATAGAAAGTGATACAACACAAGACATATACACAACAAATGGAAAAAAAAAAGCATTGACAAATACTTCATTCACCTTCTTTTACCTAATCTTCATATGTGAAATTTCACCTTTCTCCAACAAATTTTACAGTTTTACCCACATTTACCATCTTCAAATTTTTGAATTTTATAAAATAATTTTTATTTTAATATCGTATCTAGTCAAAAAAGATTCTAAATTTAGTTTGATGTAAAAAAAAAAAATCAATAATAATTATAAGTTTGTACGGGTAACTAAATCTATTTCGTTCTTATTTTTTTAATCTAACTATTTATTAAATATAAAATTGAATTACAATTACCACAATGTTTTCATTTAATTTTTTTTTTTATTTTTTTTATTATATTCTTATTCTTATTTTACGAAATTAAATTTAAACTAAATTTAATGTATATATTTTTTTAAAAGCATACCAATATATGCTTGTATAGTTTAAGATGCCTATAATTACCTGAATCATTTTTTTTTACTATTGGAATGTGAATAGATGTTTTTTTTACTATTGCTACCGGAGATGGTCTGGTTCGTGACAACCTTGGGAACTGGTTTTTAAGATTTATAACTACTTACGACAACAATGCATCAGAACAACGTTGAGATTTTAAGGGTTCTCAATAAATTTTAATTTACTGTTGCTCCTAATTTTATTATAGAGGTAGATTTCTTATATTTTTTTAAATCTTTTTATTATATCTCACTAAATGAGTCTAAGCTAATGACACTATGAAAGCG